ATAATACAGTATTGATATTAATGAGCGATCATGGACATAGGTTCGAATGACATACAAAATTATATTAATAGAGTTATGCATAAAAAAAGAACCAATATTGCAAATTTTGTTTTATAGGTTTGCAAAAATTCGTAATACTTTACAAGGTAAACAAGAGGAAAGACTACCATTCTTTTCGTTCATTTTTCCTCCTTGGTTTAAAAAAGTTTATCCAGAAGCTTATGCAAATTTTGTACACAATACACATTATTTAACAACACCATTTGATGTGCACAAAACATTAGAAAGCATATTAAACTTTGAAATACCAAAAGTTGGAGATCGGCATCAAAGAGCCATTAGCTTATTTGATAAGGTAAATATTTTATATTAGATTTAATATAAGTTTTGTATTTACTGTGATTTTTTAGTAACTGTTTTATCATACGAAAAATACAATAGAGCTATCATATATTTAAATTTTTTAAATTAATTTAACATTCTTTAAACTACTTTAAACTATTTTAAACATTTTATAGATTTATAATTAAGTTTAAAAATTAATAGAAATCATATTGTTTAACGATACAGATACCATTAGATAGAACGTGTGCAGATGCATTTATAGAACCACATTGGTGTGCATGTCTTAATTGGCAAGAAATTTCAATCGATGATGATAATGTGATTGCCGCAGCAAAATATTTTATTCAATTTCTTAATACTTATACGGAAGATCATCGTGATATATGTGAAGAACTGAAATTTAAAAAAATATTGTGGGCTGCCAAACTTATACCTAATAAAGGTGCAACAAGAAGCGAACAATTATAATTCTTTATTATAATTCTTTATTATAATTCTCTATTAAATAATGTAAAATTGCAGGTTTATTAAAATTTTATAAGTCTGGAGATCAAGATGGTTTCATAGGAGATTTTAGCGCAAAAACAAAATTAACTACTGAAACTTATCAATTGAAAATAAAAACGGTACCAGGAGATGGTTTGTTTGAAGTCAGTATTAATTATGATATTAAAAAAAATGTTTTTTCGACCAAAGTAAGTTTGCAATTCAATCATATTATAATTTAAAAATAAAAGCATAAAAATAAGAAGGTATATTGAAATTTGTATTTTAGATTTCAGATGTTAGTAGGATCAATATGTATGGATCTCAGGCAAGATGTGTAGAAAATTCTTTATTTAATTTGCGAAAATACTGTTATTGTAAGGATTAAGTGGCTACGTAGACAAAAAGTTTCATATATATTTAAAATAGAGGATAATACTCTAATTAAAGAACAAAAAAATATCAAAAATATTTACAAATCATAAAAAAGTGCTGTGATTAAACTTATATTCTTCTTCCACTTAATCTTTCATTGGTCTTATATTAAGTCTCTTATTTTTTATTTGTATCTAATACTTTAAAACTTTAGTTACGCTTAATTATAAAATCGTACTTATATAGATTTATGTTAGTTGTTATTATACTATTATTTCTAGTATTTCAAATGTGATATAAAAAGGTAATTTTATGTTATTCACGTATGGTCGCATAAATTTTATATACAGAACAGAATAATGCATAATTGATAATTATAGTCTAAGTTATTTATTTATTAATCGATACCAAAATATATTTATAAATTGTATAATCAAAACATTTGTTACCAAATTTGAAATTATTGTTAGCATATTTCAACAAACCAATAAATATTAGATACACAGTAAATATATAATGTAAATAATGCACAATACAATGTAATGACTTAATAAAAATTTTCAATATTTACATAATACAATGTAATGAATTAATAAAAATTTTCGATATTTACATAATAAATGACGGTTTATTGTTAATATATATTTGCAGTATAATTCTTTAAATTCTTTTTGTACTCTAGTTATTATACTCTACTTATTGACAATATTCTCCAAACTGATGTAAGAATGTTGTAATCTCATGAGTAATACCATCTATTAGTAAAAATCCTATATTTTGTTTATGACATGGATCATGCGGAAAATAAGCTTGTCCTTTACTATCTTTAGCTATTACTTGCAAAACTACTGTACTAATTGACAAATCTGCATCTTTATTCTTTTGTACCCTATAACAATTAAAAGAATATAATTATTATTCAATACATGAACGAAATGTTTATAAACATATCATACAACTTTATTAAGTCTTTATAGATAGCCTTTGTCACGTTTAAATATGGATTTAAAACATCTTCATATTGACACAATATCCCTCCAAGAACAAGCATTTGAAAAATACAAAATATAAATTCTTCACGTTCATCTTTAGAATATAAATTATATTCTGGGCATTCTTCATCCAATAACATCTATAAATTTATTATAAATAAGTATTAATAAATTACTAATAAATTAACTGTAATGAAAAGCCATACCCCTCTAAGATTATCAGAGATTAAAAAATTTTCTATTTCCATATCATATCTCTTACAAATAGTTCCAGATTTATATACAACTGCATTCTCAGGGTCTTTTAATTTGTTAAAAAAATTCATGTTTAAGACAGAACAAGGAATAGGCTTTACTTCTACACTTGATGCTATTATGCCTATTAATTGGAACACAAAAGTTAACACTATTAATAATTAATTCTATGTTACAAAAAATGTCTTTATTACCCTGTTTTACCCAATCATTTCCTTGTTTTGTTAACAATTCTTTAGCTACAATACTATCTTGAAAGAAAGCCTAAAAATGAAAAGACAATAAAATATTGCTACTTGATTTTTACCTTAAGTTTAAATTAAAAGCATATTATTATGCAATAATTAACTAACTTCAGCCAAATGATATTTATGATATTGTTGAAAAGGTTCGTTAAATGTAAAATGCTGAATAATAAAATTTCCCTTTATTCCCCTGTAAAATTGGCAAAAAGTTCATTATTACATTCAACTGAATAAGAAATGTTGCATGTATATATAAACTAAAAGAATAGCTAATAATATTACCATTTGGTAAGAAATTCCTGAGTTGTTTTATCATGTATTTTGACAAAATTCTTTTGTGCAAGGGGTACAAATGTATAAGTGGGTTTAATTTCCATTTCTAAACAATTATTGTTACTATGGAAACATTGAGGACGTGGAGCTAGGTAGACTAAAATAAAATAAAATTCTAAAATTTGAATAATAGGCAGAATGCAATATTCCCAAAATAAACCGCATTTTGATACCTACGTACGGTCAGGAGAATGAAATTTGAAAAATTAAGAAATAAGTACTACATATTAGTATACTCCGAGACTCTTTATGGAAAAAATAATTGCTATCATATCTGTCTGAATAAATTTTATTAATAAAACTTTTTCACATCCTTAAAAACAACGGAGATATTCAAAATTGCCCCACTTTATATGAATGGACATGTATATGTATTTAAATTTATATATAAATGTTATGAATGGAATCAATTACATTAATGAATATAGAATGTAATGCTTTCTGAGATAAAATACAATTACATTTTTAAGTAAAAAATTTAAATTACATGTTATATTATCAATTTTAGCAAAAATTTTCATATATAATCATCAATACATGCCAAAAATGTGTTTGCTCCAGAAGTTCTAGACTAACAATAAGTGCCGAGTTGTTCAATTCGATTTTCTTGCCAGAAGGTCCACATTTTTCCTTATTCAGTGCCCAGATCTTCTATTTTTTTAAATAATATCTTGTATAACGTATAAATATCACGCTCGCATATCGGTACAAAACTTTTTTGTTACTAACATTTACGTTTATTGTAATTACATATTACATTTAATATGTATACATAATCATACTACATATGACCGATGGTTCTTAAATTCGTGCTTCGAATGATTTAAAAATTCTTTGTAATAAATAATTAAAGAAATAAGTTTAATAAAGAGTGAATCACTAAAGAAAGCTTTCTCAGTAATTACTTGCAACTTTTTTTTAAATCATTGCACTCTGACATGACAGAAGACAAGGCAATACGTGATACGTTGCATCGAATCGGTTCCTACGAACTATCCGATGAATCTTCTATTTTCTAAAATCTAAAGCTAAAGAGTGCTGAGATCTCAATAAAAGTTGCGCTAAGTCTAATAACTAAGAGCAATCTGCTTTTCAGATTATCCTTTTCAAATCATCACGAAAATACATCGCTTCTAACATATATACACAACTTGCAAGTTTTTGTTTATGGAAGTGTTAGAATAGTTGCAGAAATCTTACATAAATATGTATAAAACATTTCAGTTTCACTATCATTGTATATATACCATTGTGTTTGACTATAATAATTATAGTGGTAGTTATTCATAAATATTATGAATATTGCGTATGAAAAAAACAAGTATACATAGATATTTAAACAAACGTAATTAAAAAAATCAATTATTAATAGGCTTCAACATGGTATATTTAACAATTATTATGTATTTTTTAAACAATATAAATACGATTATAGTGCCAATATAAAACATTTTATATCACACTTAATATATACATAAATATTTTCTGTATAAGTATTCAAATAATTTCGTGAGTTCTATATATTTATGAAAATACATATGTACTTACATATATTCATTTCTACCAACAAATGGATTATATATATGTAATAATTGTTTTAAATAATGTTCACTATTTTTAATCAAACGCACTTGTAAAAATATATCTGAAATTGCATTGCATAATTTCTTATTATACTTTCCGCCAAAAAATTATATGTATATATGTAGATCGATCGCGAATATTGATTATGAATTATGATTAATAATCGTAAAATTTACTGTTGGCGCTGTAATCTTTAACCATTAATCATTTTTATAAAGGTGTATATATTACTTAATTTAAAATAAAAATAGCTTCTTCCTCTAATTTTTAAAAAGTACAATTTATTTAACAAACTGTTTGTAATATTATTCTTTAAAGATTAATTAAAGTCTAAGGCAAGTAAGCGTATTTTAATTTTCAAATTTCATTAATTTAATGATTTTCATTTATTTAATTCGATTCTTTTCCTATCTAAATGATTTTTCAAACAAATTTCAATTATATTCAATAAAATTTTTTAGTACAGATTACAGATAAAGATCCAGTTAATTGTTTCATAATCGAAATCAGTATTCTATTTTATTGTTTTATAATAAGATAAACAGTACTACACTACTGACTTTATCATTTTTGACGACTAACTAGAATACAATTCACATATTTGCCATATAACAAATCACAAAGAGCGTAAAAAACCCTCATTACCAGATTTTTTTGGAAATCAGTATTTCAAAAGATTAGAAGTCCTATATATCGTAGTCATATCTATTTCATTGTTGGTCAATGATTAAAGTAAATGTGTAGCTGTATATAAAATATTTATATGAATTAGAATTATTTAATTATAACTATATTTATTTCTATTAGTAAAATAAAAATTTATTAGAATTGACTTCGTCAACGTCAAAAAAATATTAATAAAACGCTATAGTTAAAATTTGGTTAATCTTCAAACACTTTGAGAAATCATGGCGCCGAATCAACGTCAACGTCAACTTTTTATTTCCAAGAAAGAACTGAAAAAGTTGAATGGCAGAAGATTTTCAAAGTAGACACAATATTTTTTCTTTCTTAATAATAAAAAGTGAATAGAGAATTCTTTTGTTATCCTGTTATGTTTAATAACATTAAGTATATTGTATGTCGGTTAACCTTTTCTAGTAATTTAATATTAAATTATCTTAACAAGTATAAGTAATATTGTGTTATTTTACTTTTGTATTTAATTCGTCACTGAATTATTTAGTAGGATCATTAACTAAATATATATAAATATACATAAAATTAAATATAAATCTCAAAATTAAGTTTATATGTTTTAGACCAGAAGAGACGTCTGATACTGGTCTTATTTATCCCAGTCTGGATACAGCATTTAAGCTACTTTTGTCAGCTAGATTTTGTTCTGCTATTTGGAGTCATATAACAGATTGTGATGAAACTTATAACTATTGGGAACCAGTAAGATTTAATAATGAGTTTGAATGATTTATATAAATTTATTTGTACAATATTATTTTGTTTTAATAAACGAGTTATTTATTTTATAAAAATATATTTTTTTCATTACATTTTGTCTTAGAGTCACTATCTGCTTTATGGTAATGGTCAACAAACATGGGAATATAGTCCACAATATGCATTAAGATCATATATGTATTTGTTGATTCATATGGTACCAGCAAAACTTTATCATTATCTACTAGAACCAAATCCTGTTCTAGTTTTTTATTTTGTAAGATGTTTATTATCCGTGAGTTGTGCTTTATCTGAAGTATATTTCTATAAGTATGTATTTGTTGAATTATAAATTTATAAATGATAAACTTCATATTAAGATAATAATTATAATTTTCTTTCTAATAGAAATGTATGCAGGGAATTTGGCATCCATATAGGAAGATTAACATTAGTATTTCTAATTCTCAGTTCTGGCATGTATATTGCTAGTGCTGCATTTTTACCATCTTCCTTTTCGATGTGCGTTATGTGAAATCAATAACATTTTAAAGAATATTGAAATATTTAGATTATTTATGTCAATTTGTATGCTTTTTATATAGGTATTTGAATACTGTTGCAATGGCAGCTTGGTATGGTCGTCAATATGAACTAGCAATTTTTGCTACAGCTATATCTGTTTTATTAGGATGGCCATTTGCTGTTTTACTTGGGTATACTTTTTATATACAGAATAAAAATAGTTTACACAGTAAAAATTTAATAGTGTTTTAAATCTTTTTTGTATTTTTTACAGATTACCAATTGCAATGGAAATGTTAATACACAAAAAAAAATGGAGTAAATTTATGAAATGGATAATAATATCTGGTACTGTTATTTTAGTACCAATGATATGGGTAGATTCAATGTATTATGGCAAATTGGTAATAGCACCATTAAACATTATAATATACAATGTTTTTACTAATCATGGACCAAATATTTATGGAATAGAACCTTTCAGTTATTATATTTATAATGGATTTTTAAACTTCAATTTCGTTTTTATTGGCGCACTTTGGGCTCCATTTGGATTGGTAATATTAATCAAATTCAAGTTTGAAGTTAATAGTTTGAAGTCTACAATTAATTATATTTTAATGAATTTTACAGTTTTTAGTGTGGCTAATTGTACCAGCTAGACCAAGAAATCGTTTATGTTTATCTTATTGGTATTCATTGGCTCCATTATATCTCTGGTTTTTAGTGTTTTTTTTACAACCTCATAAGGTAAATTAAATAAGATTATTCAAATCATTTCAATAATTATTCTTTACTCTGTAAACGTTTCTACGGTTACCACAAATTTTAAATAGGCGTTCAACACATTTTTCACTGCATAGAAATCTGAAAAAAATTCATATATTTCCAAAACTTTTAAATTGAGATTAAAATAAAAAATTTAAACAATCTGTTTATATATATTATTACTGCCAATTTGTTACCAGGTTGTTTGGAAAAAACCAATATTTTTTCAAATTTTCTCAGACACGAAAAATCTCAGTTTACAGAGTAAGGATTAATATTAAATATCAGATAACAGATAATTATTATGTTTATAGTTATATCTTGATTACAGGAAGAACGATTTTTGTTTCCTGTATATCCAATGATTTGTTTGGCTGGAAGTATAGCTATAGATACTATTCAAAAGTTGTATTTTTTTATTCGAACAAAGCTTAGTTCTTTACATATTGCTTATCATTATTTACAATACACTGTACATATAACATTTTTTGCTATTTTAATATGTGGTTTTCTTGGAATATCAAGATCACTGGCAATATATAAAGGTAAAAAGTTTATATATTTCAAAGTACATTACAAAGTATATTACTATTAATGTAAAGTATATAAATATTAAAATATTTTAATTAAGATATCATTCTTTTATATTAGGTTATTATGCACCAATGGAAATAATGATTGATACTAATAAACTTGGTTTACAGAGAGAAATATCTAAGGATATTAATATTAATTTTTGCATTGGTAAAGAATGGCACAGATTTCCAAGTAGCTTTTTCTTTCCATCAAATAAGTAAGTAATACACTTTTTCATAAGTACAATTTAAAACTTACTCATTTTTTTATACATATGTATTGCAGTTGGAAACTTCAATACCTAAGATCAGAGTTTAAGGGTCAATTACCTCAACCTTTTTTAGTTCATGAAAATGCAACTAGTATTATACAACCTTATTTTAATGATATGAATAGAGAAGAACCTACACGTTATGTAAGATTATATTTGTATCATAATATAAATATATTAAAAATATAAGTTTTGTTCAATTTAATCAATTATAATTTTCATTATAGTTTAGCTTAGACAAATGTCATTTTATATTAGATCTGGATATTGATATTGAAACGATCTTAGAACCAAATTATTCTCGATTAAATGATAATTTCAGGATAATCAGATCGTCTAAATTTTTAAATTCTGCAAGGTGAGCAAATTACATCTTTGAATTTTTTTAATTATTTATATCTATTGTGTTAAATTAATGTTTAAATTTAATTAAAATTTATTTTTCAGATCACATCGATTTTTCCGAGCATTTTACATTCCTTTTGTGTCACATAAATTTTGTATATATGGTTCATATAATTTATTACAAAATATTAAATTTAAATCGATTCCTCTTTTATTAAAAGAAAAAAATACAAAATCTTCCTGAATAAAAATTTTAAAACGTGTATGATTTTTATAAACAGGGTCTGTGTCAGAGAAATGACATCTGATATTGTATTTCAAATGGATTTTATACTTTATAATAAAGAGTAATTAATAAATAGTTATTAATATATAGAGCAATATATACGCTCATATTTAATATATAAACAATGTATTTAAAAAAGTATGTAAATGACAACGCAATTAATATAGTTTAATTTATTGGACAATATAAAAATTTTAACATAACTTATATACGAATATGTAACATTGTGTAACAAATTTTTGAAGATGTATTATACTAAAAAATTTAATTCATAATGACTACTCGTGTACAAAATGCTAAATTATATTAGTTGAATTATTGAATTTCTAGCATAGTATTTACACAATTTCCAACATTCATTAAGCATATTTGTTGTTAGTTTACATATATATAATAAACTTAAAAGTAGAAATAATATTGCTTTTTTTAAATAAATAGTATTTGATAATAATATTTACATACGATTAGGTCATATTTATTTTATAATCAACAAATTTTTGTACATACAGTAAAACTATGAGTATAAGTATTTATGAAAGTGCAATATAATTAACTTTAATTGCAAATGTTCTATAAATTATTATATTGTATTTTATAAATATTCTGATTAATAATTTATAAATATTCTGAAAATTAATAGAACTGTTTATTCTATGAATATATTATGTAAACTCTGAGTTACCAAGTATATTTTAATTGTTATAAAATACATTATACAATTTATTTTTAATTGATTTGAATTTTATATTTTACATTTAATTATAATGATATGTATTAATTAAATAAAGCAACATCATACAGTGAATGTAAAAAGTATTCATACAGCAGCTAATTTTAAAAGCTTTGTTGAAGTTTATTTAACATGTTTTAAATTGTGTATATATTAAAAATTTTCGAAATGAATCTTAGAAACTATAATTAATCCATATTTCTTACATTTACTTGATTTTATGTTGTTATATTTTATGTTGTATATATTACAGATAAGTAGCTATAATTATGTTGCTACATGATCAAAATTACAATCGCAATTGGATTGTCATAGGAATGAAATATATATGTGAAAAGATTTTGTTATATAACAATTTTGATTTCAATTATATTATCATCAAATTATATTATCAAATATATATCATCAAAATATATATTATCAATTATATATTATCAAAATTCTCCATTAAGTTTAAATATTCAAGCATATTATCTTTAATTTGTACGTGATTAGTTCTCGATTCTAGTTCTCTATTAAAATCAAAATTTTAGCGTCACGTGTACTGAACAGCGCTTCCATCTGTCTAATGTTAATAGCCATTTTTAAATCAACGTGATAAGTTTCAAGTAAACAAAGATTTAATTCATGTACATTTATGTATGTTCAAGAGACAAAAAATTTTTTTCGTCACATGTGTACGTGATATCTATTAACAAATATTTAAACGGTGATAATATTAATATTTAACGTGATGTAGTTCCTACACCGTCTACTATTCGTAAAAGCATCTACGCGATTCGAAGTATAGTAATTTGTTAAGTTAATGTAAAATGGAAACGAAAATTGACGGTGAACGAACTCATTCCATAAAATTGCCAAGTGCGGTCGAAGTGTTTGCAAATTTAAAAAATGCTCAAAAATTTGCGATTGACATTGGTATGTATTGTATTTTATTACCTCTTTGTATTTCATTACCTTTCTTTGGAAATTTTTATTTATGCATAAATTTAATTTAACACAAGAGTAATATTTTAAATATCTTTTGAAATTGTATATATTCATTAACTTTTAAAAATTCAATACAATCAGCTGTGATCTTTTGACAATGTAGTTATTGTAATAAAGATTGTTTTGATTTTAATTTAATTGCAGGTTTTTCTTTGACAAAAATAGCTTATTATTCAACAATTAGTTATCGTAAGGCATTGTATGAGGATGCAGGCCTAGGAAATAGTGGAGAACGTGCATACAAAGTACATGAAGGCAATAGACTCCACTTTGTTAAGTTTGAAACAAGATACATTGAAAATTGTTTAGATTTTGTGAAACAGAACTTAGTAGATGTTGAGAGATTTCATGGTAAAAACATTAAAGTGACTGGTGGAGGAGCATACAAATATAATAGTTTGCTACAAGAAAAATTAGGTTTAATGTAAGTATTTAAAAATATAAGACAAAATACTTGTATTATCTGTAAACATTTATAGCTTTAATGTACATTCACAATTTAACATTTAAACATAAGAATGAAAAAAATTAAAATATTATTTTAGAGTTGATAAAGAAGATGAAATTGCTTGTCTAATAAAAGGTTGTAATTTTTTACTAAAAAATATATCTTGCGAAGCATTTGAATTTGAAAGACAAGGAAATCCTGAATACAAATTTCAGAAAGCTGGTCCTAATATATTTCCATATATGCTAGTAAATATTGGTAGTGGTGTCAGTGTCCTTAAGGTAAATCATAAATATAATAATTAATTACTTTTAAAGAATAGTTATTATTATAGTTATTAGTGTACTATAGTTGACATTATTTTTAAAATTTTTGTGATATTTTCAGGTTGAATCTGATAAAGTATTTGAGAGAGTTGGTGGCACAGCTACAGGAGGAGGAACATTTTGGGGATTAGGTTCTTTGCTCACTAAAAAAAAGGTATTATTGTGATTTAATATACATTTTTATATATTTTAATGTATGTTTTTATATCTGACTAATATTACTATAATATAGTAAAAGTAAAAATTTTAAAAATGACTAAAAATACACTGCTAGGGCTTTGATGAATTGCTGCAACTTGCAGAAAGAGGAGATCATCGTAATGTTGATATGTTAGTGAAAGATATTTATGGAGGTGATTATTCCTCACAAGGTTTATGTGGAGATCTTATTGCATCTTCTTTTGGCAAGGTTACTTATTATAGTGGTGAAGGTAAGGAAGTAAACAGCTAATAGGTAAAGAATTCTCAAAAAATAAGTTTCTTTTATATTTCTTGTTTGTGTTTCAGGAAAACCAAAGTTTTCTGAAGCAGATCTTGCTAGAAGTCTGTTACTTACTGTAAGCAATGATATTGGGCAAATAGCAAGTTTATATGCAACTGTGCATAAAATGAATAAAGTTTACTTTTGTGGTTATTTTCTTCGTAATCATCCTTTGTCAATGCATACTATTTCATGTTCTATCAAATATTGGTCAAATGTTAGTTTTTCATTATTTTGTTTTATAATTATGATACAAAACAAAATTTTTCTTCTTAAAACGATTCTTTTCATAAACGTTTGTTAAATATATAGGGTAAAGTAAAGCCTCTTTTCCTTCGCCATGAAGGTTACGTTGGTGCAATTGGAGCTTTCTTGTATGGTGCTGGACAGTCTGATGAATGCAGTTGGTTGGAAAATTATGCAGGCTCTTCAGGATTTAAAGAATCAATATCTACCAATCTTGGAATTAAAGTAGATCAATTGGAAATTGATCAAGCAGAAACCGCTGTAACATTTTGTCCACTCTTGAAGGACCCTGCAACTTATAATCCTGATACAACTGATCTTGCTGAAGATAAAGAAGCAAGGTGAGTTATAGATGCTAGATATAATTATATATATAGTAATCTTTAATATTTTTAGAGATTATTGGCTTCAGTGTTTTGAAGAATCAGTGGATAAATTTGTGGCTAGAGCTATTCATAGTCAGCCACATAGTCCAACTGCAAAAGATAGAGCAACAAAATTGAAGGAGAAGTACATTAACAGATTACATTATCTACATCTTCAACCATTGTAAGTAAAGTTCAATAATAAAATTGCATATTTTATTATTTGTGATGTTAAATTATGATGTTAAATTATGTTATAGCGCTTATGGAACACTTACTGTGAGAGTATTATTGGATACTATTGAACATTGCATGAAAGAATTCGATTTTCCTGATCCATACTTACATGTGAGTTTTGAAAAAGTCTTTTCTTACACTGGCAATATTGTGATTATTGAAAAAATATATTTAATTAATTTTTGTAATATTTATTTTATAAGCAAAAGAAAAAAGAGAATGAAGAAGCCTTAACGTACCTAAAAAGCCGGATAACAACTCTTGATAAATTGGAAGGAGCAGAAAAAATAAAAGCTTTGATCCTAGGAGTTCTGAGTGGTAATATATTTGATTGGGGTGCGCAAGCTGTTGCAACTTTAATGGAAACAACAGATTTTGGTTTTACCGAAGCTCAAGCAAAAATACCGGGTATTGCTGTATACTTGCGATTTTTATGATCATATTAAAAGAGATATCATTAATAAAATTGATTTTTCTTAAATTTAGGTAGACCTTGGTTGCAAGATGACTTGGATGATTGGATAGAGAGATTGAAAACTGGTCCACCTCATAAATGTGCTGCTATTTTCGTTGACAACAGTGGAGTTGATATAGTATTGGGAATTTTACCATTTGCACGTGATTTATTGCAACGAGGAACAAAAGTTAGTTGCTGTATATCATTTTGAATTTGATTAAAATATATATACTAAATTAAAATAACAATTACTTTAGGTTATACTGTGTGCTAATTCTATGCCAGCATTAAATGATGTCACATATCCAGAATTGGTTGTAACATTACGAGATGCAGCAAAAATATGCAAGGTTATTAGACACGCTTTAAAAGAAAATCGTTTGATTGCTATGGAGACAGCTCAAGCTGGTCCTTGTCTTGATTTAAGGTATAGAATCATAATATAGTTACATAATTATTTTAAGTTTTATTTATATATAATTGTGTTAACAAATTGTTTTATATTTAATAGCCGATTGAACTTAGATTTATGCCTTGCGATGGTGAAACATAAAGTTGATCTTATCGTATTAGAAGGAATGGGCAGAACGCTTCATACAAATCTTCATGCAAAGATGACTTGCGAATGCTTAAAATTAGCAGTTGTCAAAAATCGATGGTTAGCACTTCGATTGGGTGGTGATATGTACGCTGTAATATGTAAATATGAACCGCCACCGACGAAAACTAAAATTTGTGATGTAAAAATAAAAATGAAAGAAGAATGCCCATCAGAATGCATGGAGAATGCAACAGATGTTTGCACGTGCGATGTAAAGGAATAAATGATGAAAACGTATGTGACTATATTGGATTATGTATATTTAACTGATGCATTTAAAATTTTATTTTAATTTCAGAAATTCAAACTTGTTACCTAAAAGTATTTCTTTACTTGTATTTAGGTATGTATATGAAAAGGAGCTAAAATTTTGATTTATTTATAATTTTGAATGAAAATATTTTATAAGGAATATCATTTAAATACTTTTATAAAACTTATTGTTTTTAACAATATAATTTTTTACACTGTTATATAAAACAATAATTTTTACAAATAAAGCCTGGTTATCGAATGTTAATGTCATGAAATTAACCAAGCTTTATTGTTTTCTAAATATTTCGAATATGAAATATATTCGAATGTATTTGACTATGAAAATTTTAGTATTAACGAGAGAAATTGATGAATGATGACTAACATCTAGTCAAAAATGATAAAATTATGTTCTCCATGATTTGAAAAGGAGACCTTAATTTGAAGGAAACAATAGTGACCAATTGTAACAAATATACAGACATATATCATATAATATTGTACAGTACATTTTCTGTGATAATGTAACATTCAAATAGAAAGTTACATATTCGTGTAAATTAAAGCAGTAAATTAATAGACAATATAATAGAATAATAGATAAAACAGTTACACTAATGTTTTTTGATTTAGAAATTTTTCGTACAGAGATGTATCATCTCGTGTCAAAT